AATAAATGTGTCAAGATCATTCGTTTCACTATTCTGGATCATTTTCATCCTAATAAAATAGCCTGATACATTTACTTTACTTTAAATAAGCTATTTAGTGGACTTGGTAAAGGGTGGGAATACTGAATTTTCATAAGATTTCAAGTTAAAATTTACCTAGCAAAAAATGAAAACTTTTCAAATCTGAAGATATCACATGATTCTACACATAGAACTACATCATTAATACCATAGGCCGATTTTTCAAACTAAAAAAAAAAAAATTCGCCTCCGTATGACACACCCTAACCCAACAAACCAACATGCGGCTAACCTTTACCCCGGGTCTCAATCCCTGGACAAACCACATACTTTTATTAATTGTGTTGGTTCGGTATTACCATCCACTATAACTAAAAAAACCAAGTAGTGAGAATTCCGACCGGTTACACCAATTTAGGGTGTGTCATACGGAGGCGAATTTTTTTTTTTTTAGTTTGAAAAATCGGCCCATGGTATTAATGATGTAGTTCTATGTGCAGAATCATGTGATATCTTCAGATTTGAAAAGTTTTCATTTTTTGCTAGGTAAATTTTAACTTGAAATCTTATGAAAATTCAGTATTCCCACCCTTTTACCAACACCACTAAATAGCTTATTTAAAGTAAAGTAAATGTATCAGGTTAATTTATTAGGATGAAAATGATCCAGAATAGTGAAACGAATGATCTTGACACATTTATTAAATTTAATATTCCTTTAGAAAACAAAATCATCAAATACAAAAACCGGTTTTACTACTACGACCCGGTGTTGCTGCACACCATAGAGAACATGTCTTTCTTGCTTCTGTTTCTACTCATCACCTCCCTGCTGACCACCTGAGCTCGGATGTAGCCTTCCCTCCTCTCCTGGCTGTACACGTGACTGCTGGCCTCGCTCACTTGCTGTACACAACGCTCTATACTCTGGGTGTGCGAGGGCCAGGCAGGGACATGCATGGGGTTGTCAAAAAGCTCTGGCTTGAACATTGGTGAGGCTGCAGGTAGAGGGCTCACTGCCAGCCTGGATGTTATCCAGATCTATGAGATCAGTGAGGGTCTTGGCACCTAGATTGACTTCAGGGTCTTCCTGACCCTGAAGGAATCGTCACCAACTGATTCGTCATGCCCAGATCCTCTCATAAGTCTCATATCCAAGATCTTTTTGACTGCCACTCTTCTCTCCTCCTCATCCTTACTGCAGAGCATTGTCTGCAGAACTGCCTCGGGATGAGCATACCAGGAAGATCTCCTCACAGTCTGCTCCACAATCTGAACAACCTTCCTTGGCTGACTCCTCAGGAGCTCAAGCTGGAAGAGAACATGCCTCGGACCTTCGGAGAACGATGACTTGACCTTGGTGTTGAACCAATTTGGCAAGTAGACACTCACGATGAATTGGACAATAAGTCTCAGGTTGTGAAGCTGGTTCCCTTTCAGTTTATGATGAGCGACCCAAATTCTGCAGAACCTGAGAGCCGTTGTGAGCCACCTAGAATGTGAGACTGGACCTATCTGCAGGTAAGCAAGTCTATCAGGCATGACCCCAGTTTTGATGGCACTGCAAATCATGTAACCATAGTACTGGTCAGTACTCAGGTCGTCAATGACAGTATGTGCAAGCTCAACGAGTGGAGGGCCAACTGTGATTTTTTCAAAGCTCGGATTTATTTCTAACTCGGTGGCAGAGTCCAGCATCTTGCCAAGAGGACCAGACCATCTGTTGTTTGAAAAGTCTTGCCATCCAGCTCCTGGATCAGATGTCTGAGTGGCAACTCGTTGGTGTGGAGGTCACAAACAATCCAGACCAGCTTCCTCCCAATCTTCCGCTCTATCCACTGTATGCCCCCCCTTGCCACCCTGTGTTCGTGTTAGTGCTGTCCCCTCCAATGGCCTGCAGGGTCTGGTCTACGTTCCTCTCTCTGAGCCAGTTCACAATGTTATCTGCCACTATCTCAGCTGGTTTCCTGATGTCATCTTTCTCTTCAGTGAAATGCCACAAATACTTCCCTCCTGGTTCACTGCAGCAGGAGTAGTGTTCCTCCTTTACCATGGCAGGGAACAACTTGTCAGAATCTCCAACTTTCATGAACAATTTAGTGTCATCCCTTCTCCCATCAAAGAACAAACAATTGATTCCATTTTCTCTTATCCCCTTATCAAATTCCTCTTCTAGGTTACTGACAAGTTTCTCCTGAGCTCTCCTTACTTTGTTATGATCTATCACCAGGTGAACATCATCAGGTGTTATCAAACCACCGTCAATCGAGGCAGCTGTTGCTATCTCTGCAGTTTCTCTGAGACCAGTGTGGTGTCGCATGCTGGCCAGAGCTATGCTCGGGATATCTTTCCTATTTCGAATCTTATGCCTGGAAGGTTTGGGATCATTATTTTCTGGGTTAGGGACAGTCACCATTCTCCTGGTCAGCACTCGGATCAGCCATGGGGGAAGTCATTAAACTCTGAATCAGCTTGACTC